CCGAAGCTACGATCCTTGCCAAAGGAAGGCTTGCCTCCCTCTCTTGAAGAACTCTACATCTTCACCTGTCCGCTGCTAAAACGACAGCGCTTTGAGGCGGAAGGAGACCACTGGCCCCTCACCCATACCATCCCGTACGTTGTGATAGATGAGAATCAGGTAATAAGACCTACTGCTCTGAAACTGAAACTGGGTATCATGTTTTCTGTTATGCTTTTGCTACGGAAAACTTTGATTTACTGCGGATATAAAGCAAAGGAAGGCGTGGTCAACCGCCTTTTCTTATCTTATTTATATATTATCTATTCTGTGCAGGTATTCTCATAGGATTGCACTGCAAACATTTCTTAGTTACTTGACTCAAATCTTGAACAAAATCATCAAAATCCTGCAGGCTTAATTACTTCAGGTAGATTTTTTACTTTCTTTAATTTCATGAATATTTCCAGATGCAACTATGCTCAATGTTACTACCACATCGTTCTATTCTACTTTAATTTTTTTGGATAATAAAGTCCATCTAAATAACAAGAGAACTATTTAATTATGAGGACATTCTGTAGTATTACTTCATCTTAATAAGGCTAATTAAGCTTTTACTTTGCATTTGCATATTGCAAGAAATGGATTTTACTTTTGTTCTCTTGTAAATTTTGCATTCCATATCAGGAGAGTGCAACAAAATGAAGGGGGATGGCCTAATGTCCATGGAGGATCGAGATTCTTCCCGATTATAATTGGTAAGAAATCAACATTGAACAAGTTTCAGTTATCTTCTCTCTTATTTCATCTTTAAATCTCAATTATCAAATACTTCTCTCTACAATAAGGCTAGGAAATCTTTAAAAGTCACCTCACTCCTAATATACCTATCATTCACATTTTTTAAGCAATGTACTTAAATTCATCTGTTCTTACAATATGGCAATGATACAACTACTGTATCCCTTTTTCATTCAGTTTTCTTACCAATGAACTGATTTTCTTAACAAAGAACTGATTTGCAGAGTATGCTTCAAGGTCAGATGCCTCAATGAATAAATGGTAGTGTACTTGGGATCCATCACGGTTGCAGCAACGAACTTCTACCCTCCAAACAATGCCCTATCTGGTACAAGAAGTTGGCGCGTCCCTCTTTTTAAGGAACTTCAATTTCCATACCGTGCTTCATCTTCTCATCCCTGCTGTTGTCGGAGAGATTTTCTATCATTTCGTCAAGAAAATGCTAAGATTTAGTTCGCTTTTGTAGGACATGGATTTTCTTGGAGTTTTTCGGGTAATTTCTCTAGCCATATCAAAGGACAATTCGAGGATATCTATGAAGGTGGATGGATGGAGTACTGCTTCGAGGTAGCATTATGCTCAAATCATGAATCCTTTGTTGTGCAAATTTTAAAAGGTTAAATTCAAGTTATTAGCTATAGATGCACTTATTGGACTAATTAGAACAGGCATTTTACTTTCTTTTCTCCTTCATTTAGGATCAGTGTGTTGCATATCTGTCCATCACTTCGGTGTTGAGAAAAACACTCATCATGGATGCAGAATTGAACTGAAAGGGTGGTATATGAGGACAAGCAGGGGAAAAAGTTACCGGTTTAGTGGCTCCTTTTGGGGATCATTCCAAAAATGAATTGATTTGCTAATTACTATGATGGTGATTCAAGAATTAATTTTTGACGATTTATTGTTGTTGAGAGTTTCTAGCCTTGCCTAGAGAGACTTTATAATTAATCTTGACATTTCAATGGTGAAAGTTACCTAGCAAACTAGAAGTGCCGTGAATTTTTTTGTTTTCTACATTAAAAATTTGATGTCTTGGGCTTAGTTTACGGGTACTCTACTGTAGATGTAACAGTAGTTTTTTGGTTTTTTAGTAACCCAAAAATATATAAAATATATTTAATTTATTTAATAGTTGTTTTAATTAATTTTTTATATATATTTTTAGAATAATAAAAAAAACATAAGAACCAAAAAAACATTTTTTAGTTTCATTATTTGCGGTTCAATCGCAGACGGGGTTAGTTGCTTGTTTTATTTTTGTGCTATCCTATCCAATTGCACACGGGGAAAAGAATATTCTTGGAGAGCCTTCTCCTAACACGCTAATATCCACACAGCCCGGTTTTTGAAAGCTAGAAAAGCCCACCTAAATCTTCATATCATTAATGCATTATTATTTGATTATAAGCATCCACCAAGGGAATGAACTCTGATTTCCTGTAGTTGTTTCAAATATAACAAATATAAATGATTAAAATCATCAATACATTTATTTCAATAGAATACTCAATACTCTGAAGCCAAGAGGTCAGGCATAGTTTCGATCTAAAACGGTCAGGCTGACTGGTCCTTCATTTCCAATCCTTCCAACCACGGCTATTATACTTGCATCCAGGTGAAAACATGCGAAGCATCATCCTCTTGGAATCCACAAATTGATCATCTCAACAAATAATTTTTGGTAGTCGGTTTACAGATTATAAAGTCATAACTTCTTTTTTCCTTCGCACTTATCTTTGCAGTGGTTGCACAACAGTACCGCTCATCACCTATAAAAGTTAGCAAGTCAACTGAATGCACAAGATCAGTACACACTGCTCAGTGTTAATGACAGCTTGAACAATAGTGGCATACAAATTCTGTAAATATGTGCTACCTTGTAACCAGTTGGCTACTTATATTAGGAGTAACGGCTCATATTTGAATGTGGAACTATTCTTTTCTAAGAAATATGTGTAAAATGAAGCACTTGAATGACAAGTTAACCCTTAGAACACTAATCCTGGGATTCTTGGCATGCAATGTCAATATTTCATCCAAGTTTTTTACTTTGAGAGGACAAAGCTTAAAACAACGATTTGCTCTGGAGCAGCATTTAATAGATTTGAAGAGACTACCATGGATTGGTCTCTATAAATAAAATAAAAAGGAAAGCAAGGAAGGGCTCAATAGCAAATACGTTCACAGGCAAATTGATAATAAATGTAGTTACTCACATATATCTAAGTTGAAGAGACAGGCGGTTACTCCCATATCCACAAAGAGATGAATGCTAAAAAGCTGCATAAATAAATGCAGATATGACATCTCGTTTGATTTAAAAGGAAGCTGAGTATAGAAGAATATAAAGAAATCTCACCACATTGCTCCCAGTGGTCGAAATTCACCAGATGAGATATTCCTTCACCTTTCCAGTATGGTTCAATTCGACCCCAAATATTTTGACTATGACTATTAAATCTCTATGGTATACTCTCAAACTTCAAAAATCAGAAGATAACTGGATCATTTTCATTACAAATTCATAATCGCGTTTCAAATTTTGATCATCCAAATTTTCTTGATGAACGAAAAAAAATTCAAAATTGCGATAATACAGAGAATCGACATTAAAATTGAATCCACATGCAAACAACCAAACAAACAGCAATCACAAATCGGCATCTACGAATAGACAACCAACAAAAAAACAAATAAGAAAGAGTCTGGAATTACACGGAAACAAAAAAAAAAAAAACTTCCCGTTTCCTTTTCGGGTTCAACCAATCATAACAGAAGGTATTGAAAAATCGAAATTAAGAATCGGAGGACCAAACCGGTTTGAGCAGCACGGTGCACGGATCATCAGAAGGTGATGTAGAACATCGGATGGAGGATGAAGTGGAGGAACATGAAGCAGGCGAAGGAGACGGAGAGGAACACCACGCCGTAGACGATCCCCAGTGGCCAGTGCCATTTATGAGATCAGAGCTTGAAGAAGGGTGAGATTAGACTAA